CTGCTGAGAGCCCCTTTCTTAAAAGTTGTGTGGTTGGCTAAGAGAACACCTAGCTTGCACAAGACCAAAGGTCATGGCTTTCCATATCTTTCACAGCTAATGAAAACAATCAGCTTGCAGCCCACACTAATAAAAAGGGGTTAAAAGAATCAGCTGCAAGACTGCTCAACATGAGCCTTGCATTACATCAAGGTTTGATCAAATGCTTTCTATTCTACTACTATAATTACAACCTGCATGGTGTGGAAGAGATGAGAGGAGACAGTAGCCAATTCCAGTAGTTTAGTAATCTAGCACACCTTAGAAGGCATCCAAGAACACAGTAAACAATACAAAAACATTAAAACAAATCAAGAACAGACAGCCACCTCAAACGCAGACAGGTAAGATGCAGTCAACCTCTTCTGCAAACTACAGGAAGGACTACCCCAAAGCAAGAGATTATATTCCACTGGGTTATAGAACAAAGTTTTGTTTACTCAGAAAGTTACCCAAATTTGCTTTAAGATTTCTTTCGGTAGGAGTAACGAGTATTTTGTAAGCTTTTGTTAGCTAGCTACCAAAGGCTTTTAAAAATCTGAACTTCATTCTGAAACAAATGTTACCCTTTACTGTTTGCTCTTGTCCTTAAACCATGCAAGTAAGTATAGCCAGTACCATGCTACATCAAAAGCTTAAGCTTGAGTTTCCATGTGAATTATTTCCTTTTACTTATATTAACTTCAGTGTCAACACTGATAAGCATGCGTACCTTTCATCTGGTGCAGGTAAAGCTAACAGGATGTACAAACTGTATCAAGATCAATTTGTCAGATGGACAATGAGATCTGCACACCTGTATTTTCCAGCAGTTATTGAACACAACAGTGACAATAATAAACTAACATCTTGAAGGACACTGTGGAGTTCAAAACAGACAGTGAAAGGCAAGAGTAACGAAATATAGTCGGGCATTTGGAGAAAACTATGCTTCATTATGTCTATGCTTCCAAGATTAAAGGCCTCTTCAGAAAGGGACTTCCTACACAAAAAAAAAAAAATCTGGTAAGAAGTCATGTGCTGACAAAACAAAACACAGTTTTAGTCAAAAAGGAAATAGTGATGATTAAGTATGGAAAGGAAGCTTCTGCTATTCTTGTTCCCCGTAATGAAGTAGGGTTGTGGGCACAGGGAAGAGGTGGAGGGAATGGCACACAGGGAAAATACCTCAGGTAAGTTTCAAATAGTCTAAAGGGGCTACCAATAGTTCTAGTGCTGAGGAAAATGACTGGCAGAACTATTCTAGTGATTTGGGCATTTATTATAAGCATTTACAAGTTAGCAACTAATCCTGTTATAAGGCTATATCCACCAAAAACATTTACGTTGGGGGACTTCTACCATAACTCAATTGCTGTCACCGCACTTTAAGAGTATTTCAATTCAACATGCTTATGTTTAGAAGTCACCAGATTCAAGAATGTATAGGAAATTTTTGGAAGTTTAAGTAAACAATTTTAACATCCTTCCCTATACCACAGGTACTAAATGTACCTCTGACACATAGTTTGCCCTATTATTAGAATAGGCTTTCTCTTTGTCTTAGTACTGTATAAATTCCTTTATTCCCAGAATCATTCCCAAGAGCAAGATGTCAAAAAAGCTAAGGGGAAAAAAAAGACACTGGATGCCCAAGGCTATAAATGGATGCCTTAACATAAAACTATTATGATCTGTTACAGGTCAAGTTAACAAAAGAAGTCTGCACACAGAGTTAGATTTCTTCTTTACATCAAAATTTCTACAAAATAGGAGAGAATACAATGCAATACACAAGTCCATAAATGCAAGATACAGTACAATTCACACTAATTTACAAATGGTTATTTACACTGTTGTATATACATGCACAGTCAGACCTGGTTAATGCAAATTTGGTAAGTCCTTTTAAAATGCAAATCAAGAGGTGTAAATGAAGGAATTTAAAATTATGTGAGAGTAGACTAGTCATCATTCAGAAGTCTTTAATGGTTAGGTAACTTAAGAAATTAGGCATGGATTAGCCAGATCTGACTGCAGAAATGAGAAGAAAAAAATTCACACTATTCTGCTTTACAAAAGCAACCAGGCCACTATGGTCTATTGACTTGATGCTATTTATGCAAGAATGCCATTACTAATAATCCTCTTTATATTTACAATACAGGTTTAACTACAGTAAGAATTATTAATTTTGGCATCCATGCCCTTAGCTTAACATAAAGGCAACAGAAGATCTTCTTGGCAAGTCACAGTCAAAACTACTTAAGGATGTTTCTAGAGCTCAGTCTTTTTTTTTTGTCCTCCTTCAAATGTCTTAACATTGCTGTTAAAGAGACTGAGATAAATTAATTGAAACAAGTACACGTTCTCTAGTTCGGTGCTTTAGTACCTAACTTACATTCAGAATGTCCTGTATTCACAGTTTCAAGCTACCTTATAATATGCAATGCTATTGCAAGCTACTGCTTCAAACTTAACACATCTGTAGATATTCCTTAGCAAGTGAGAGTATCTGAGCGCTACTGGCTCAAACAGATGTGGAACAAGGCTCAAGGTAACCGGCATTTCATTCTGGAAAATGTTTTACAGTATTTCCTCAGAACTTATCAGGAATTGTTTTAACCTGCACTTGTCTTGAAAGCAAGCTGATGCAAAGCAGCATTTAAGTGTGTAAAATTAATTTCAACACGTAAAATGAAAGCCTCTACCAGTACTGAAAAGTCAACCACTGTAACCTGTGATAATCCTTGTGCTTCTTCAAAGTGGCTCAGGAAAAGCTTGCAGTATTTACTATCTGCTTCAAAGTGCTTTTACGGGATTCAGTGGAACTTCACTCCACAAGAATGAGATTGAGCTGCACATGAAGAGCTTTGGTTCTGCAGAAGCAAGCTTCTACTCCTACAGTTATTGCTACTTGAGCTATACAAACAAAAATACTACTGAAAAAAAATTACACTAACTCCAAACTTAAATAGTACTGGTACCTGAAAAGGTAATGTGGATTGCCAGCTGTTGGGAAAGTTAGGATCTGTCAAGTGTTGGATTTCCCAAGATCAAGTGAGCTTCACAGCCTTTTTCAAATATTTCACAAATACAAAGCAACCCTGCCAAAAACAAAGCTGCCACTTGAAGAAAATAGTAATATGAGTTCAAAAATCTTTACCAATCTTACTTCCAAGCAGATCTTGCTGAACTTAAAGGGACTACCAAGACAGCAGGCTATTATTCAACATACGTTAATAATGTCAACAGGGAGAAAGTACAGAAAATTCAAGTTTTCAGTGCTTTCGAGAGCTCTAGCAACATCCTTGATAACTGCTACAAAGGAAAATATAACTAATTTAGCTATTTGTTTCTATTTAACTACCAAGAAAATTTGTCTAGTATAGTAGCCTCCAGCTAGCAAATACTAACGAAAATGGTTACCTAATTTCAAGTTACAAAAAAAAAATCCCAGTTCTCCCATTTGTATTAGGATTTTTAAGGTTTTGACTGAAGGAAAAAAAATTGGAAACATTCAGAGATGAATATAAACAAGTTAAGAGGAAAAAAAAAATCCCACACCTTGCTTTTGTAAAATAACAGAATGCCATTCAAAATGGTCTTTCAAGGTGAAAGTTTTTCATTCACATCAATTTTCTTTGTCCTGAATCAATCCACGCTTTTGTAAAGCACATATGTATATGTGTGTGTATATACACACAGCAGTGTGCCATAAAGCAATTTTGAATAAATATCTTTGCTGGAGTCTGTACAACAGACTCCCCATAATATTTACTCTTCAGGTAAGTTTGTGTTTGCATGTGTATATGCACACACACAGACTTTGTACATGTGGGCACTTATGTGACCAAAGTGCAAAGTTTTTCAGAGTATAATCAGAGTTGAGTACATGCCTGCCCAACTCCACACTGCATTGTTGGGTTTCATTTTTCTGTTGTGGGTTTCTTCCCCTCCCGCTACCCCCCTCCCCTCCCTTCAGATTTAAAGCCTCTTTTCAACTCAAACTTATACATTGTTTTAAGTAAACATTTTCTTTTCAATTCACATTTTGTAATCCAGACCATTCTTGGTATAATAGCTTTAAGAAATAAGAAAACTTGTGTGATGATCAAAGCCCCATTGTTCAAGTCATACATTTTCATGTTATCCTTCAAACTGGAGAGTTTGAAAAGTAATTGGCTGCCACAGAAGAAAAAACAAACAAAAAAACTCCAGACATACCAGAATCTGCAACTACAGGACCGAGCATTTAAGACTATAATCCAAGGTTAGAAGATGACAAAGCAGAAAAATGTCAACAATACACAAACTGTAAACCTAAGTGTCTTGCTCCCCAGTGCAACAGGATCTCTGTTCACTAATCTTCAGTTCAATAGTCCATCCCGCTAGATACTGCTGAAGCACATCAAATACAGACACCAGAATAGTGTTTGAATTTAGAACCAAGTTTCAAAAAGGAATATAGACTTCGAATAGTGGTCTTTTGCTTTAAAAGTACACTTAATAAACAAGCAGCTTTCCCACAGATGTTAGAGATGGTACATTGTCCATCTAACACTATGATGTTACATATCCTCAAAGAAACTGATGGCCATAGAACTTTAACATTTCTACAGCTTAATGCATCAAGAAGGAAAAATCAAAACATTATTTATCATTTCAGCAAGCTGGTTGGTTCTCATACAAAAGAACAGTACCATCATATGGAAAGCTACCTTTTTCTTTTTTAAAAAAAGAGGGGGGAAAAAAAATAAAGATCACCCCAACCTTTTTCCCTAGTTACAGCACACTGGTGATCTCACGAGTCTATTATCACTCACATTTTGCTTGTATACATCTAAAAGGTTAATATTCTCTGACCATGTTTTCTTTAATATAAGTTAATGCAACTTCAATAAAATAAGTTGTTAAACAAATCCTTTGGAACAACTTCACTGTCTGCACCCAACTTTTACAAAAACTGATGAAAGCAGCAATGGAATCATGTTAAACTTATAATAAATAATTCACATACAACATATGTTAAATTACAAAGAAGGATTAAATTGCCATTTCTACAACTTTTTATAGATTTAGCAAGTTTCTAATCCATTTTATATCAACAGCAGTACGTATGCTCTTCATATTAAATTTAACATTGAAGGACTGTTTAGAGGCATTATTTATAAAGCAAGAACCACCAAGTGAGCATTACAGAACTTCAACAAATGTTTAGCTTTTTTCCAGTATCTGTTCTCAGAAAAGATTCAGGGGTTGTCTATCCACTTGGTAAGTTTCTTCCTCTTCATTACTCAGGAAGAGTTAATGTCATGACCTCCAGCTTCATTTTGAAATACTGGTTGAACCGAACAATTGCATACCTATTCAAAGGGAGAGAGAGATTTGAAGTTAAGAGCAGACAACTCCCTACATGAAAACAGCCATGCTAGGCAGGACTAGTCAAAAGTCCACCTACCCCAGTACCTACTTTCCAACACTGACCCTTAGCAGCTGCCAAAAAAACAAATTAAGAATAGAGCAACCAATATTATGGTACTTCGTCGCCACCATCCCCCACCCCCAGCTTGCTACAGTTTACAAAACCAGATGCTGTTCTGGGATTATCAAAAGGTGCTGTTTTCATGTTTAATAGTTCTTAATAGACTGTCCAACAACTGACAATTACAATTCCAAAGAAATCTGATCTTAATCATTGCAAGAACAACATTTTATTCAAAAAACTGACACATTTTTGGGTTCTACCACCTGTGCTTTAACTTGGGGTTTTGTGCCATCTAGTGGCTACTAACAAGTACTTCTACTTGAGAGTGGTCACAAGAAATTCACATCTCATTTCCAAAATGACACAACTAAGCCTAGTAAACTGGCTTAGTGCAAAAAAATTCTAGAGTGGGATCTTTTACCAAGCAAAATGATTAATTTTATCATCTCACCCAGTCCCCAACAGAGAGATTAATTCCTCTGCTTGTTGCCATGAAAGACTATTTAAAAAAAAAATGCCAAAGACATCTACCTGAAACAGAACACCATTGGCCAGCATCTCAGGAAACAGAACTTAACATTCATTGGCATTACAAAGACTCTTTAAAAAAAGATTAGGAATTTCCAAGATCAATACTCCATGCAATAAGAAGTAAACAAGCTCTTTTGTACAAGAGCCCAGTTTCTTGCAGTTGGAAACGTAGGTCTTGCACCTGACAGACAGTACACCACACCAACCAACTTGGCTTTTATGCCTTTGTCTCTCAAACAACAAGAAAACAAAACACTGGATGCCCAAAACATTTACTCCTCTAGCTATGTTCCTTGCCTCATTATACTATGTGTTTTAGCCCAGGGGCGCATACTAGTTGAGCGAATTTTCAGCAACAAAAAGCACAGACAGACAGCTTTTACCGTCTTGTTTTCTCTTAAAAATTAAGAGTTATAGTATGGTCACACAGATCAGGTCCTGTTTTTCAGATCTCAGTTTCTGATAGACAGACAGGGTGTTGGACTATATGGCCCCACAGGTCCCTTCCAGCCTCAGGTATTCTACGATTATATGTAGCAAGCACACTTACCCTAGAAAATCAAAGTCAATGGTGGAATATTTGGCTTGAATTAGAGCCCACAATCCCCAAAAGAAGTGGGAAGCCTGGAGAAAAAAAAAAAGTTTAAGATTAACATTATATAAAATCCAACATGTAAACACATTCTCACATTGAGACAAAAAGTTATCTACAAGAGAACTCTCAAAACCCAATCTTTTAGTAAAGTTACTTAATACCTCTTTACCAAAGAGATTGGTAAACAAGTATTATAGAATTAATTACTGGCAATCAGGAGTAAATCCATTGGCCTGACACACACCTGAAAACACCTTAAAATGGCACTTACTGTAAGTACATGTGAATCTTTCTTGTACCTCTAGTTTAGATAACTTCGCCTGATCGCAGTTTGGCATTTTACACCAGCATCCATTAACTTTAGTTCGTATTTTCTCTTAACAAAGCTTCCACATTAACTGACCCAAGAGCGTTTTGCAGTATTTGTGCATCATGTGTGGTCTCTAGGCAGGTCTTGAACTGTTCTCTAAACAGAACTCTATCCTCTTAAACATTAGTATGACCATAGTTTAAAACTGACAAAACAATGCTATATGTTTTAAAACAGCCCACCAGCCTACTTTAATGCAGATCTAACTTTCCTAAACGAATGGGACAGCTGAATTTAACAGTAACAGTTGATAATATGGTTTTCAAAAGACTAACAGCAAACAAGCTGGCATTTTTTAAGGGCTTGTTTAATAATCATCTTCCTAGAACATGAACTTTATTTCCTCACTGCAACCGTTAGCTTTTTGCCAGAAAACTGAAGGTATTACAGTAACAGAGGAATGCTTGGATTAGTCAGAAAGAGGACAGAAATAAGACAAACTGGCTTCTTACCCTCAGTCCTCCTATGAATAGTTTGGCGTGTTATTCTTCAGGAGAAAGGAAAATAAAATTATCTAGCTATTGAGTAAAAGGTACTTTTTCTGTAACATTTCCTGTTACATCCTTATGCAAAACAAGATCAGGGCTAGTCGGAAAAACGTAACAAAAGTAGTATGAACCTGTAAAGTATCTTTAAAAAAAAACCACACAGAGATAAAGCGTGGGGGAGGGGGGAGAGACCTTCAAACTGCTTCCTAACAGTATAGGTCATTGAGGCATTCAAGGACTCAATGCCACACCTATTTGACGACTTATTCTACCTCCATGAATGATGTGGTTTTTTCCCCCTGAAGGACAAGGCACTGAAGCCCGGTGGAATTTTCTGAACGCAGATCAAAGTTGAACACGCTCATCCTTTCAAAGGGAAAGAACAAGGGAGTAAAGCTTTTACATGCAAAGTCTGGGAAAGACAGACAGGAGACAGCTTATGATGGACAACATACAGGAGGAACAGGGAGCAGACTCACAGAGACAGCCCTCACAGTCTACAGAAAGGCAGAACTTCCAGGGAACCACAGGAGACTACATGTGCACTTTGCTACAACTTAAACCACTAAGGCGACCAAAATGAAATCTGAAAGCAACTCCCTGCTTGCCAGGACACTGCAGGCAAGGAAAGAGTTAAGGTAGTACTGGAAGACTCTATAGTGACCCAATTATGTTTAAAAAAAAATTTTAAAACCCGAAGTATCCTAGTTTAACAAAAGTTTTATCTTACTTTAGAAAGGCTTTTAAAATCAGAAGATTTATAGGTCTTTATGAAGTACTACCTTGCTCTTCTGTCTTCTTACCATTACAAGAAAAAGTTCAACACAGACCCACCATAAGCTCTAGCCAACTCAGAAACTTGCCAGACCAGTAAACAGCCAATAGAAATACTCACTAAAAGCTCATCTCATTTTCTGAATGCTCACTGCCTCTTTCACTAGGAATATTCTACAGAGAACTTTTAATACAAAACGTAACAGAAAGTTTCCACAGAACAGGCTAAGGAAGTTTTTCTTTACATACCACAGCACTCAGACTAAGAAACTGGCAATTACATTTGTCCATAGAGTAGCAGGCTTCCCTATAGCATTTAATATATTCTAATCAACAGTTTGTTATTTACCAGTGCAAACTGATTGACTTGGACATATAGAACTTCAACTTCTTTTTCACTGACTTCTGTGCCAAATCCTTTATATTCTTTGTAGGCCTCAAGGTAAGATCTCAGCCATTGTTCCTGTAATTTTCTGTTAGGATAAAGGCTGTAGTCTACCTCATTTACTCCTAGAAAAAAGAAAGAAAAAAAAATACCTATTAGAATCTTACATTACTGGACTACTTCCCCCCTCCTCACCCCCAACACACACGCACAATTGATGTGGACAAACATCAGTGTTTTTACTTTGATCTGATTTTATCAGTTACACATTGGCAAGAAACTCACACACAAATCAGAGCCTTTGAGCATTCTTCAACATAGCAGATGATTTATGCTGTATATGTTTTCAGCCACATACATATTCTACTTGTATTCTGAAATTCAACAAGTTTGGCTTTGAGAGAAGCCTCAAGAAAAAGCATGTGCATTATGAAACAAAAACCCTCACACACATATCAAGTATTATGTATTTCATAAGAAAGGGACTTGTATGCAACAATGTCCAAAGCTGAACCCAGATATATATACATTGTCACCAACTAAGCTCATATTTCTGAGATGAAAAATTTATTAGAAGTCTACCTATCTCCTCCACAGGGTATTGGTAGAATTAGAGTTTTATCTCTACAACCATTTTCTTGTCCTATTTTTATTCCTATACTGGAGATGCTTACTCATAGGCCATATGGAGTCAGCCAGAAGTCCCAAACCTGGATCACAGATCACTCCCACTAGCTATCATTCCCAGAGAATTTGGGAATTCTCCTTAAGTCTTATTTTTATGAACAGTGCAATCCCCTAGCACCTAAACTCTTTCCTGTGTCAGATCTACTCAAGTTCAGCTTTGTAAAAAAAAAAAAAAAAAAAAGCCACAGATTTTCACTGGATGGATAGAGAATACAGAGGTGAAGCACAAGTGTTCTCCACAGGCAAAAAAAATAATGTATCTGTGTGTTTAGTCTTCTTATTGTACTTAGCTCCTTAAAGATGTAATCAGACTCTCAGAAGAAATCCCAGATGAAAAATCAAAAGCTCTCAAATACATTTTATAAAGAATTTAACTTGCTTTCCAAAAAACTTAAATTACCAAGTATACACTCTGAATTTTTTTTTTTTTTAAGTTATCCAGACTTAACATTAAGTTTGTGAAACAACGAGTGGTACATTAAGGCTCCCAGTTTCACCATACTACGCTTTCCATCTATACTAATCATTATGTAGGTTTTTCCTGTTGCCCCATCTTCTGAAATAACACAGCATACACCCAGGGTTATTTCTCTCTTATGGAGTAAATGGAATGAGCATTCACTGAAAAAATTTGAACTAGTAAATGAGTAAGTCTCCTAGCACCTTACTCCTAAAATTTCATCTTTTTCCTACCACAGAGCCTTAGCCTTTACTTTTCATTTTAGGACATGACTCAAGGGCAAGTACCTAGCGCACACATGCAAAGCCACCAAAAAAACCACATAATCCTGCCATTTGGAGCTGTGGAACCACACAGTGCATTCTGAATATATACCAATGCTGTACAAGATACATTTGCAGTATTTCATTACAGTGGGATGAGTCTCCACTGTGTCATTTCACAGAAGGATACTGTGAAAGTTGTGAGTTATTATCTAACTCTATTACGTATCTACTCTGAGTATTTACCTAACTCTGCCAAAACTTAAGACACGATGTTCCCATTTCTGTGTTAGCAGAACTGCAAAGGAAGGGCATAACTGGCCTGCAAGACGAGACATTAACACATTTTGATACTGTCAGATGAACAGCTATATACATCTATCTAGATATACAGACAGAGAAAAAGAGAGTGTGCAAGAATGAGTTTGTTTTATAAAGCCAGTTTACCTTTACCTCAGAAATCCAATTTTTACCTGCAAATTCATTGAAGTGATTTCCAATGTCATAAGCCAGGTAGTTGTATCCAGAGTACTCGTAGTCTATGAACTGCACATCACCTACGTGAGACACAACAGCAGCAACATCAGAGTCCGTATCAAACGAAGTCACGGCCCTAATCCTTTGGTGCCCTTTGAAGTTTTGGGGGAAAAACAAAATAAAACAAAAACGCACACCCATCTTACTTGTGCCCCATTGTGTGCACTCAGACATTCCAGGGTAAGGCTGTGATTTTTATGATGTGATATTTCCTTGACTATGCATTCAAGAAAGCTCTTAAATAATTACTTAGAGCTTACAGTTCTATTTTTAAATCCTGAATAGCATAATTTCAATTTTAACTTCTACCACATGAGGGCATCCCTTACCTTCAAAGTAAGAAATACAGTAGAGGATCCTTTAAACTTTATGTAGAAATAGCAGATTAATTTTCCCCCGACTTAAAAAAAGACAGCCCTGTTTGTTCTCACACAAGCGTGTGACCACAGTGGACTAACACGTTGCAACATGTTGGTATTTCCCGCTTCCTCCAACCACACTTACAAAGCAAGACTATTCTTAATTATTGCCTTTTTTTAGCTGGCTTAAACTAGTCTCAGGAAACCATTAGACTATCCTCAAGTCCTCAAAACTCTGAAACTATGTAGCGTTATGTAAACAAGGACTGATAAAGTGGCAAACACAGCCCCAAATGTTTCCAAATTACATTTACCTATAGTGAAGCTGGGGAAAATGCTTCACTCAAGGTAACACAGCATTAAACCTGCTCAAGAATATCTACACCACATCAAACAGTCAAGACATTAACAAGATGGATTAGGTAAAACTAGAGCTCTTGTATTTTAAAGGAAACCAGCAAAATTACTAAAAATATCAGAAAAGGAAGCAATGGGTTAACTTAGGAGCTGTTCACACTAGAACATTAAAATGTAATACCTTACATTTCCCACTGCTATGCTGAAATGGGTAATTTTCACAATTGCAACCTTCTCCCTCTCTACACCCATTCTTTTGATGACTAGTTGTATATTTACTCAATAAAAACATACTCCTTCTATTACAATGAACAATTTTCTTAGCATGACTTAAAACATCTTACAGACACTAATGCTAACTATCAGAACTCCAGATCAAAAAAAAAAGTAAATCAAGAATAACGTTAAGTATGTTATGTATTTCCTAGACTAAGGATTTTAAGCATCTAATATACTACCTCCTTAAGATGTATTTGATGTGTGCAATATCCATAAAATAACAGCTTTGCCAGCTAAGTGTTCTGACAGAACAACTTGGTTAGCAGTGTTCCTTGCATCTATGCGGTTTGTCTTTACCATATTTGAATCACTAACACATTAATGTTTTCCAGATGGATAAATCTTCTTGTCTAAGCATTTATAATAGCAATTAAACCCCACAACACAAACAAAATCACTTAGTCACAATCCTCCAAGTCAGAGTTTACCCTTACTTCCACAGAAAGAGAGGATTGCTTACCAGGGTTATGAGGTTAAACTTTTTAGGCTCTGACAAACCAATATGCAAATGGCCTGCAGAGCAGCAAGCTCCTCCCAGGAAAATCTTGTTAGCAATGGAAAACTGAGGTTCTCTAGAACTCTGAAGGGACAAGAAATTTTACAGCAGCTGCAGCCAAGATCTTATAATATTGTCACACATTAACTTCTGCCAGTGCTGACTGGCAGATTCATATACTTGTATATGCTTGCATTTCCCACTGGTTCTTTAGTACTACTTTTAAGAAGAAACACCTGTAAGTTACAAGCCAGTCAAAATGCACAGCCCAACCCTGGTTAATATTCTGCTACACAACTGACTTCCTGAACCTCCCCCCTACACACACACCCAAACATTTGAAACGTTTCTTGTATTCAGAGGGTTTTCCTTCCTCCCCCATCTAATACACAAACATGACAGGTAAAAGTCTACTTGCAAAATATCAACATGAGAAATACTTTAAATTTTTCACATGCAAATTTCATCTTGTATATACCCATGTGCTATTCTGCATTTTTAAGTACAGCTAACATTTACAACTTAATTCCAGATATAAATAATATTATGTACAATAAGAAATTGAATCTAACAAGATACAAATGAAGCTGTTACCAGGCACTCTCCTAGGGGGAAATGCATGTGAACCTCCAGTCAATGCACAAGCAGCAGGGTGCATGCCACCACGAGGCAGCAACAATGGCATACCTAATCTGTAGCATATGAAGAAAATTTGGCAAACTCACATTTGATAACACAAAAGTTCAAAGTGAAAAAGTCCTGCATTTTTACTGATCTCTTTCAGACTTATGCTACTGTGGAACTCAACCTTAAGTTTAATTTTTGCATGAAAAGCTCAAAGTAAAGATGCACAGTTCTTTCTGTAAAACTGAAAGCAAGCAAAAACTCTAAGTTTGTCACTTCATAAATGCATACATGTCTCAGCTACCTTGTTTTAGAAGAAGCAGAAGAAACTTTGCCTTAATTGTTTAAATAGCCACAGTATTAGAAGTTACTTGTAAGATTTATTGCCGTTCATACAGGAAAGCCACTTATAAAAGATGTGGCTTACACTTGTAATTAAGCAGCTAGCTTTTGTTTTAAGGTTTTTAATAAGTACATAGAATTTGTACATCCCACTGATTTCACTGGGAACAGGCAGATCAACACGAGACTCCAGTCTAAGCGCATTTGTATTTTACTGAAGTGAGACATGATTTAAAACTAAGCTCTATCACCTCTCTGGAGAAGCTACTGTTATCAACAGGAATAGAGACATCAAGAGTATTGAACATTTCAAGTTGAAACACACTCCTTTCATCAAGGGGTCTACTACTGTAGACAACATGCAGTGTAATCTATGAAAACTACATAAAGACCCAAAATGGAATACATGTTGCGTTCCATATGCTAGAAATTTAATTTTTAAATAGATCAAGTAGTAGTCAAGAGGACATCTGTTAGATCTCCTCAGGGAACTGAAAGGTAGGAGGGTGACAACACCTCTCTCTCTAGCTGCTCTTCACTTTTAATGGTTTAATAAGGTAAGCACTTTCAACGTGCAAGTCCTAGCTGTAGTTACCACAGCAGAATGATGTATCCTGAGTTCCGTCCCATCCTGCTCATCAGGTGAGCCACTGAGGCCCTAGAAGACAGCTTCAGTAAAGACAATGATCTATGCTATGAACACACTTTAAAAAAAAAAATCACAAATGGGTCATATACCCAAAGAATAATTTTAGCTATAAATACCCAATATACCTTTGCAAAGAAGAAAAAAAAAAAAAAGGGTTTTAGATCAAAACCAGAAGCCTTAAACATACCTCAGTCTTCAGAAGCACTGAGCACCCACAGACTCCTACCAAAGATCATAGAAAACATTGGGTAGGCAGAGGGAATAAACAGAACAAAACTAGCCATCTACCTACACACTTCACTTCCTGGCAGGTGATTTTAATACATTCAAGAAGAGCACATACAGATATAGACAAAAGAATACTGATACTTGGTCTTATTGAATAGCAAGTATTTGAATACTCTCAAAACATTTTTGGAAACTCCCAGGTCACGTTGACAAAAAACCCCATCAAACTTTAAGAGCATCAGAACACAAGGTCTATAAATAAGCAGTACCAAGCATCAAGCATATTTTGACTATCTTGATGCCCAATTGTAATTAAGAGCAACGTGAAGCTCTGAGTTATATCCTTCAAAGAGGAGTTCACACTGATAATTATCAAGTTATGTAAAGTAACACTTGCAAATTTTCATATCCTGAGTGACTGCAAACGGACATTAACAAAACAGTGAGAGGCAGAGTTCTCTCAGCCAGCCACAGCATGAACAAATTCAAATAAGACGAGTGACACTTCATTAAATGAAGCTAGCACTCAACATGCTATTCCAGTCTCATAAGTAACATTTAAGGATATGAGACTGATTCTTCTTAAAAGCAATATGTGGCACAACTATGATTTTTCTTTCAAGTCTGAAAATTTAACATGAATTTAATGCAGAGGACAAGTCTAAAGCAAAGCACTGGGACAAGCCACAATCATTCTAACTGCATTGGACGGGAGTCCTAGTATCTGTTGATAGTCTGTAGCTTAAAAAACACGTATACACGCACCCACCCCATGCCTGGTAAATGTGCAAATTAAGCATTCACAAACAAAATCATAAATACAGTGTTGCTAAAAACCAATAAATAAGTTTGTTTGTGCCAGCTTCTGAAAAGCCAGATAAACACCACCAGCTTTGCTCAAACTTTAACTACTATTTTTTTGCTCTCCCCAGTAATCTAGAATACTGATTCTCTCTCTTTAGTTCCAGCTTAGGGTCACCAAGGTCTTTTTGATACACAGGAGCCTTTCTAGATCAAAGAGTAAATTTAGTAAGAGTACAGCATCACCAAGGCTGTTAACTACCTTCATATAGTTTGATGTCATTCCTACTGAAGTACATCTTTAAAGATTCTATTTTGTGCTCTTGCAAAATTTTTTGTATACCAATAAAAGCTTTTGGTCTGCTAAACGGAAGTCCAGCAATACATATTTATTTACAGTTAAAAGCTGAGCTTCCACTTCTAAAATCATGTTCCTCATTTTAAGATCATACTAACAGACAGACTATTTTTTGCTTTGTAAAAAGTACACTGTAAGAAACAGCTTTCAAACAACATTCTACAGATGGCATTGAGGTTTGGTTACTATGAAAATGGTACCTGTTGTACCCAGATTGTAGAAGTTTTACAACACAGTACATGTGCAACATTCAAACATAAGTTTAATACATATATGTATTTCATATTTCCAGGTCTTTTTCCGCCCCGCAAGATGTTTACAGCTACCTTGAAACAGAAGTGCTTTATGTACCTCCCTCCTCCCCACCCTGTCCCCAAACACTAAGCACTCACACACTCGTTATTGTAGGATTGCTCATAAGTGATGCACTGCTGGCATTGTTTTTTCCTCCATTCTGTTTACAAAAAGAAAAGCATTTAGCATTTGTTTTAAAAGTAGGAACTTCAAGCCTATTGACCATGATGGTGAGCTGTTTAAAGGAATTCCTCTGATTTTTTTTGCAGCATGGTTCTACTATGAAAAGTGACTACAAAAAATTACTTATACCTCAATGGGTCTGTTATGTAATACTAAAACTCAAGCTAGTTTCAGCACTGAAAAAACACACACAATAACCATAGATTCATTTTTGTACTACGGTATCACAACTCCAATGTAAGACAAGCTGATTTTTTTGCGTACCTTCCATGCTCCCTCCCTGCCTTTTTAAGCAGAACTATAACCTACCATTGAAACTAAGTAAAGCCACTGAAGTTTCATATTGAATTCTTGGAATTTAAAACTGCTGTTGATAGCATTGTAGAGGTGTATATATACGTACAAATATGTATTTACCTACAGAACCAGTACTAGCAATTCCCTTCAAAATGGTATTACTCAGAGGGAAACTTGTATACAAACCACCAAAAGACTTTATTTTCTCAATTCACATGCATTCAGTGCATATCTGATGCAGAAATTCTGCAGAAATGCAGAAACACAGCCAGTTTTCATACTAGAACCAAGTCCAGCATGCTTTTGTTAGTTTTTATTTAGAAATTAAGGAACATAAGCTTAAAAGGTCAAAGACCAATGATGACTGATGGAGAATACTTCAGCTCCATTCAGTCATTTACTTCACACACTTTTGGCTTACGTACCAGTGTTATCAAACTGTCACAAACAAATATGAAGCTACTAGAAGCAACATGTCATCCTCACTTCAAAATAAAATCTTAATCTAATCTGATGAATTGGTTCCACTCAGCTGAGCTCAGATATTTGAAGTGGGAGGAAAGTTGTGCATTTTTACTGCACCATAGCTGTTTTAGTGTCAGAAGTTTGCCTTTTTTGTTTGTTTTAATGTCCTGTTTAATTGATTCATTTAGTAACCGAACCTCAAACCACTAAAATCCAGAAATTAAAGCAGCTGTGGGTTTCTACAAAAGCTTTATAGATTTTAGTTAAAGCATTCTTTAATAACATGAATTACAAGATAAATTTATTATAATAAAAGCAAAAATGTAATTAATCTTTGCTAAGATGTGTACTGCCTACAACTGTTTAAATCAAGTATGTATTTACGAAAGAAATCTTTACGAAGCCTATGTACCTCACGCAGGAAATAAATTGAGTCACAGAATGTAGTATTAAGTATCACTAAGATACTTCGCTATGAAAGTGTTTTCCCACAATCACAAACCAGAACAATACACACGTTATAGCAGATAATGTCTTCGGGTTATTTCCTATGCTCGTATGATTTTTTTTTTCCTCCAAAAAGCTTTACATGACTAGAATAGAATTAACAATTACATACTTTGAAGCCTAGTCATACAGTCAGGCTAGGGATTAACAAATTCATTAGAGTAAAGCTTCCGGAACACCAACATTCTTCCCCTGTACAGTAACATATAGATGAGAATTAGCTAAATAAGCAACTTAATATTTACACAGATATCACTACCACTACATTCGGTCTAAAAAGCTCAAAACTGAGTTCACTCATTAAAGTCAATAAAATGACACTACTGATGTAGCAAATGCAATTACAGAATAAAAAAAACTAAGCCACTACTTACTGTTTAGTTCAATACCTACCTCGTTTCTTGTTGTAAATAATATTCTTACACAACAGGTCATTGTGACAGAGTACCACTGGTGATCCTAAATTTGACAGTCTTTCCTTCATCCAGGCCATCTCTTCCTGAAGAACTTGAGGACTTGGAATGTCACTTAGAAACCTTTTCAGGTATAAGAAGTTTGAGTGTTAAAAGCATTTGTGACGAAGTTATTTTCCTCTACATTCTTACTTCAAGTAATTCAATAGACCTTATC